TGCCTCCCTCAGAGACTTTCGGCTCCTTGAGGGCTCACACCAAGTCTCTATTTTTGTATTTCCAAGTCCTTAATAAAGTGCCTCTTTAAGAAATATTTCTTGATCAAATCAGCGACTGAATGAACCCACTGCGGAGCCCACTGGAAAGCGTTAAGTGTACCCTTCGGACAAACATCCCTGGTGACTCGCACAACTCTGAGGAGGTTTTTTCCTACCCCACTGGGTAACGGAGATCCTGGCCCGGGGGAACGCAGAAGCACAAGGAGTTACCCAAGCCGGTCCTACTTGGGATTTTTCTTAATATTCATCCATGTTACTCTTTTACCGATCTCTTTTTAACTGAGATATAATTCACACGACATAAAATTCATGTTAGTGTACAATTCGGTGCACTCGACTGCTGACCTAGGCTCGTTTCTGCTTTTTGGCTATTATGAATAATGCTGCTATGAACACTCAGGTACAAGTTTGTGTTTCGACATATGTTTCCAGTTCTCTTGGGTATATATCTAGGAATGAAATTGCTGGGTTATAGTGACTCTCTGTTTAAGTTTTTGAGGAACTGCCAAACCGTTTTCCAAGGCAGCTCACCGTTTTACATTCCTACCAGCAGTGTCTGAGGGCCCAGTTTCCCCCACATCCTCACCAACACTTGTTATTGTCCAGCTTTTTTGGTGGGTGTCAAATAAAATCTCATTATGGTTTCAATTCGCTTTTCCTTAATGACTAATGCTGTACATCTTTTCATGTGCTCATTGGCCATTCGTAAATCTTTGGAGAAATGTCTATTCAAATCTTCGCCCATTTTTAAACTGGTGTGTTTGTCTTTTGGTTGGGCTATAAAGGTTTTTTATATATTTTAGATTCTAGTCCCTTATCTTAGGATTTGCAAATATTTTCTCCCATTCTGTGGGTTGCCTGCTCACGTTCTTGACTGTGTTCTTTGCAGCAAAAAGTTTTTAATTTTGATGAAGTTTAATTTATTTAGTTTTGTTGTTGTTGTTTGTGCTTCTGGTGTCATACAGAAGAAACCACTGCCTTATCCAAGGTCGTGAAGATTTACACCTATGTTTCCTCTAAGACTTTTATAGTTCTGGCTCTTACACTTGGGTCTTTGATCCATTTTGAGTTATTATTACTTCTTTGTATATGACGTGAGGGAGGGTACGACTTCATTCTTTCGAATGTGGATTTACAGTTGTCTTGGTATCGGTTGTTGAAAAGACTATTCTTTCCCCATTCAACTGTCTTGGCAGCCTTGTCAAAATCACTTATTCATGAACGTGAGGACTTATTTCCAGCCTCTCGATTCCATTTTATTGATCTAGACATGTACCTTTGTGCTAGTACCATGAAGGCCTAATTGCTGCAGCTTTGTAGGAAGTTTTTCAATTGGGAAGTGTGATTCAACTCTGTTCTTTTTCCAGATTGTTTGGCTCTTGAATCTCTCGCATTTCCATATGAATTTTAATGTCTGCTTGTCCATTTCTGCGAGAAAGGCATCTGGCATTTCAAGAGAGATGGTATTGGATCTGTAAATCGATTCGAGGGAGCACTGCTATCTCAAGCATATTAAGTTTTTCGACCCGTGACCATGGGGATTCTATTTACTTAGGTCTTCTTTAATTTCTTTCTACGATGTTTTATCATTTTTGATGTGTAAGTCTGACATTTCTTTTGTTATACTGGTTCCTAAGTATTTTCATCGTTGATTCTGTCATAACTGGAATTGTTGCCTCAGTTTCGTTTTTGGATTGTGTATTGCTAATGTACAGACATAAAATTCACTTTTGTGTATTGATCTTATGTTCCATAACGTTGCTGGACTCATTACCGGATCTAACAGTTTGTGTGTGTACGTGTGTGTGTGTGTGTGTGTGTGGATGTTCCATAACGTTGCTGGACTCATTACTGGATCTAACGGTTTGTGTGTGTGTGTGTGTGTGTGTGTGTGTGTGTAACCCTTAAGATTTTCTACACATAAGATCACGTCATCTGCAAATATATTTTTATGCCTTCCTCCCTAATCGGGATGCCTTTTATTTCATGCCCAGCTCTGTCATCCACCTGGCTCACCATTTTTATTTCTCGGCATTTGGAGCACAACTGCTTGTTTCTGATCAGCATGGGGTCACTCTGGCTCCTCCTGGCCTGGAGAGAGAGGGACAGAGAGAGTCGGGAAATGGCGTGGTATCTGGGGCAGCACAGAAGTGGGAAAGGGTGAGAGAGGTCACGGTCATTCCATCCCTAAGACAGAGGTGGACACTCTGGTCTCGGCCCTACCCCGGCTGGATGCAGACTCTAGACCTGACTGCAGCTGGTAGGTGCAGAAAGGGTTTAGGTCGGGGGAGCTGAGCCACAGACCAGCTGGTGGCCTCGGGCCACGCACAGAGGTGCAGGTAAAAGCCAGCTGGCGGAGGGGCACAGGGCTGGAGATTACAATCCATTGAGCCTGCAGACTGAGACGCTGTACTCCCAGAGGGGGCACATTTTCCCCATTTGATACGAAGGATCCACCACGGGGACCAGCTGAGGATGACCGATGGCCTGAGAAAAACCGATGGGCAACTCCTCTTCCCCAGCTCTTTCGCTGGCTCCCCGCCGACGGATCACCCACTTCCGCTGC